AAAACAAATCACAGGGGCAGGAGCCAACGGAACGTGGCTAATGGTACATGGAGGCAGTGAAACATTGCAGGAAGAAGAGCCATAAAGGGCAGAGCTCCTGAATGAAATAGAGAGAGTAGAGAAGAATGGGTGAATTGCCTCAAATGCTGGTTACCAACAGGACCAGAGGTTGTGCCACAATCCAAGGTAACCATTGGCCCATGTGCTAGTGGTGTCCTCCCAGCATCAGTAAGCCCCTGGACCGAGGGCTGAGGGTGTTGAACCGTGGGGCTGGGCTTGTGGTCCTGCTGTAGGGACAGTCACCTGTGAATTTGGGATGGCACTTGTGGCATCAAGTCCACAATGAGTGAGCTGACGTGGACGGATGCTCAGTCAAGTTTGGAATGACGTTTGTCATCCTCTTGACTGAAGGATTTGCTCCTTTCCCAGGCTTTCACTGACCTGCCTCTATTTCCCATTCTCTCACACCATTGGTTTCCTTGGAGGTACTGTGGGCAGACACCTCCAACCCTGAGGTCATACAAAGCTATTAGTTTTCCATTAGTTTTTAGAGATATGGGTCCAAATTCTTTACTGGTCTAAATGGGCTTTTACTTACAGCAGCAAAGAATTTGGCATTTCATGCAAATTTGGTTCCCTGGCTTCCATGAGGCTCTAGTTTGGAGGGGTCTTTGTACTGAGTCCAGCCTGATTATTAATTTCTGAAGGTAGTGTCACTGCAGTCTTGAAAAGACCCCTTTAAAAACAAAGGTTAATCCTTGTTCAGTCCTACAGAGCATCAATAGTATTATTTCTAGTTAAAAAGAAAAAGGAAGCTTTTGCTTTCTCTTCTAAGCCTCTAGACTGAAAACTTCTTGTGCGATGAAGCCAGAATCAAGCAAAGCAAAATTCTGAGTAGTATTTACAGATATGAACATTTGTGGCACCCAACCATTGGTGTCAAAGGACACTTATTGTGGCTTAGGTAACACCAGCAACAAAGGGGATACACACCCTGGATGCAGACTTTCAGTTTTCCTAAGGTTTCCTTTGTCTGACCAAGACAAAGTTTCAGTGCAAGAGCCTAAATGTGATCAGCATGGGGTATGAGACACATGCTGGAAAATAAACATCTCTTCTTCAAGATGGATGGTTGGTATTTGGGGCATTCCTGTCCTGGTATGGGAGGTTGAAGTTAAGACTGGTGTGACTGGAAGCTTTCTATGGTTTTGTTGACTATGCTCAAACAAACCTGACATGGAAGGTGCCTTTTGAAGGGACCTTTAATGTGACTGTTGATGACAGATATGGGGGGCTATTGCATTAATTGCTTCCCAGAACAGAAAAATCCTACCCAGCTTTAATATCTTCATGTGTGAACAGGCCTTGCTGATAATTAATAACATGCAAACCTGGGTCTACTGGTTATTCCATTCATTCGAGTGGTATCTGGACTTTCTGAAACACACATTTTCCCAAATTAAATCTGTTTCAGGTTTATCGGCTACTGTGGTGGGCATGTAGGAAAATCACACAAGCAAACAAAAGGAAATGGAACCAGAACTCCATCTTTGGCAAAAACATGGTCACTGACCAGACTAGTGGGTGCATTCAAAAGGAGATGTCTGTGCAGAGCTACAGAGTGGGTCTGAAGCTCTTCATCATGCTGAACTTCACCAGGCCATGAGATAGCTTCAGGATACACATTTATCTCATGGACTTTTTATTCAGTTTCTGTGAGGGTACAGCTGTAAAGGGAGCAAGGAGGATCATTTAGTAAGCAGGTACATGGACAAACTTGACCATAACTAAATCAAAATCCCTTTCTGAATGTTTACGTTCAGGTTGCTCATTCCTCCGTAATTTTTTCTCATCTCCTGATTTTCTCTGGGACCAAAAATAAAAACTCCAAAAGCCAGTGGGAAATGAAAGTCTTGACACTTCTGTTTTAAACCCAGGAAAAACTCCCCTGAAGGTGGGAGCGCTGCCTGATTCAAATCCTGTCTCTTCTTTATGTTCTCAGCTTAATCACTGTGCATCTGGAAGAACACTGCAGCCAGTGGCGTTGGCTGACACCTCCCCTGCCATCACCGAGGGCAGGGTCTGGCCCGCTCTGTGTTTCTCAGAAGGAACATCTCAGTTTCCAGAGGCAGTCTCTGGTTAGTTTTAAGTGCCACAAACAGGAAAATACAAAAACATGACAACATCAGACAAACTCCGCGACCTTTCGCAGACGCACTTCCAGGAGGGGACGTTGCAGGTGTTTATCAGAACAGAAGAAAATAATGACAACAGAAAGGTTGAGGGGATCAGCTGTGTAAATGAACACCAAGAAAGCATCTAATATATTATTCTGTAATACAAAAAGAAGAAATCTGACTTGATCGCCCTATTATAAATTTGCTAAAAATACAGATATATATTTATATTTTTATATATATATAATTAATTTTTTTTTTTTTAAATCTGAACAGAAAAATAGACTACTCTGGAATGCATGAAAGTCACATGACTTTTCCATACATCAGATACTTATAAAGCCAACACAATGGCAAGCAGGAGGTACAGAGGTAACTAGAACTTCTGTACTTTATTCAAGAACTATTTAAAGCCATATTCTCCCCAAGCGGGTGATCCGAAAGCAACCCAAGGTAACACTAGTTCAGTCTGATTACCGTAAGCAGAAGTGACTGCCCGAACATGAAGGGGTTGGAGCTAATTTGGAGTGACCAGGGAAGGCCAAGTCCCCACGTTGTTCCCGTCTGGACTGTGCAGGAGGGCACTGGTGCCTCCATCGCCCGACTACTTTATTCAGTAATTCTACAATTCTCTTTAAAATGAGGTGTCAAAAACTAGTGGAGGTCATGTTATGTGGAGCTTACCAACAGAGAGAGAACGTGGCTTTAGAGACCTTGTCTTTGCAATGAGTTTTTACATACCCTTGCTATTGACTATAAACTGTACCAGTCATAATTCTGTCAAGACATAAATATACAATAGGTACAAATATTAACAATACATTACAATTTTACAGAAGAGAATACTGTTTTCCTTAGAAATGTGTATCTTATTAGCTGCAAGGGAAGAAAAGGCTACAGTTTATCACAGCCATAGTTGCCAAAGAAACCGACGGCCTCGGATGTGTTTCTGCGTGACTCGCACAGGCGGAAATTCCCCGGCATTTGACACACGGCACGTTCAGGAAGGGAATGTGCGTTCCACGGGTTTTCTTTTCCTCTCTCTCTCTCTTTTTTTTTTTTCCTCCTCTCTTCTACCTTTATTGACTCTCGAACCTTTCAGAAAAATGTGGATTTCACAGGAGACTCTTTTGTTTTGGGTTGTTTTCTGTTTTTTGTTTTTTGTTTTTGTTTTTGTTTTTGTTTTTTCCATAAGTGTGCTTAGGTGAAGTTTCTAAGAAAAGGCACTGAGAAATCTACTGCAATGTCACGGCTTTTTTTCCTCTGTTCAAGGCTAAAACTCAAAGAATCTTTGCCTCTTGGTTAAGAAAACTGCACCCACTCCTTCCACATATATATATATGTTCTATATATATATTTATAGATATGCATTAAAAACAACGTTGATGGTGTAGGATACAAGCAAGCGCAGACATCACACATACATAGTCCTTTCAGGTGTGAAGTCTTCTGCAGCAGCAGGTGAGGCTCTGTCAGCTTGCTTGACACATGGTGCACAGTAAATTCGCAGACCTGAATGCCAAATATCAGTGATTAAACTGCATGCTTTAATCAGGAGATACTGCATGCAGGAGATACTGCCTATTTTCCCCAAATGTTATGAACTTTGGGAAACATGTTATCAAACAAACTATAAAATTAAATTGTCTTTCTAGGGTCTATAGGATTTGGTGAGCATTATGTTTTCAAAGCACTGCCTTTCCTTTGCAATGAGTACAGATTTAGTCTATCACAGCTTTAGGTTAGAGTAGATTTCCCAGTGCTTACATTATATATATGTGTATTATGCACACACACACATATATAGATACATACTTCATATTCAGACTTTATTTCATTAAAATAAATTAAACATACTTCCTTTTTAATTGGGCACAAAATGAGAGCTACATCTTCATACACAAATAAGAAAGAAATGCTCTTCAAGCATATTATATGCTTAATTTTTAATTATTTGCTTTCTATAAGAAATCTATAGGACTTTGGCTATTCAGACTTAAAAGGTAGATTTTTAATGATACTTTTGAATTTGGCTTTCAAAAGTGACTCAATAAAATGCTACTTTAAAGGTAGGACTAAATAGATGACATAAGGTGTGTGTCATGAGCGATCACACAAGGCAGACAGAGGGCCTTTGGTTACAAGGAGAGTTGCACCAGTTGATTATCAGATAAAAAATGATAGAATTGTTGATCTATACATTTTTGTCAGTGCCATCTGTAAACCAAATACATCAATTTGGATGAGAGTGTGGTAAATACTACACTATATGGCTATATTTAAATATGTTCACTTTTGTGATATGTAAAATATGACTTTTTTTTCCACATGAAAGCATCAGCTCTAAAAATATTTAACTTGGAAATCACAATTACTTACTTTATCAAAAAAATTTTCCCTGATTTTTCTTCTTTTTACAGTTGTGCAGATGGCAGACATGAATGATCACTAAAACACAGAGATTATGTTAAGACTGTTCTCCTTAAGATTTCTCGTTGCTGCTCCGTGGCCTCAGAAAGCCACAGAATAAATCAGTATTTAAAGCTTATCTGCTGGAAAGTCACTTCACTTTTTCATGTCAGCTCAATCTTAACTAGTATCTCAGCAACACGTCGGTTCCTCTAAGTACACTTGTATTTACTATGGCCAAATCCTAAAGTCCTTCACCGGGCAAAGAGCCCACCCAGAGGAACGGTGGTTTAGGCTGCGGGAAGGCAGAGTAAAAGCGAACAAACCTCAGGAACTGGCCCTGTGTAAATACCCTGTGGAGCACACGGTGCCTGGGACTTCTTTTGGGTACCTTCCGCGTCACTCTTTGCGAGGTCTCTCGCTGCGGGCGGGTAATTCCTGAGGGGGTGGCTCAGGTCTTACTCTCGCGCCTTCCCGGGGGTCTCGCCTTGCAAGGGCGGCTCTGAGCGGGTCCCTGGGCTGGTCCCACCGCCCGGGGCCGGGGTGGGCTGAGCAGAGCAGAGTCACTCCACCGTGTGTACAGTTTGTGCCGAGGAGACACCTAACAAAGCTCTCACCGCAACCCACGGTAGTTGCTAAAACAGGTATGTGCTTATTGCTTTTGTCCGTACATGCTGCATTCACCACTAGGGTTACAGACAGGAGTGCGGCACGGCCTGGACGGACAGACGGTACATTCAGGACTAACCAACGGCTTGGTTTTGCAATAGGAAGGAACAAAACGCAGCGGACTCGAGCGGCTTGGGGGGGGTCTTCCTCCCACCTGTGCCTCCGCTCCCGCGTCCCGTGTCTCAGCTCGTCCCCGGACCTGCTGCCTGCAGATCGCTACACGCCCCGGCAGAGCTCGGAATAGGTCAGGAAACGCTCGTCGACAGTTATTTACAGTTGAGTTTTACAGTAGAAACAGAGAACAACAGAAAAGGTTACCATCACAGTTATCACAGGACAGGTTGTGACTTGCTACAGGCGTGTAACAAATCACAGTCACAACAGGAGGCACAAATTAAAGTAGTGCTTGGTTAAAGTGCTTGATTGTTACACTCTGCTATCCTACTCCAGCATTGCAACAACGACAACAAAAAGTCAACGTAAAGTGCTTTTCCCCCCCAAGATTAAAAACCAAAGACAAATTATTTCCTACACAATTTGACATAACTTTATTGAAACAATAATATTTTAAAAACCTAGGCTGGTGGCTGCTAGTTCTGTTCACTTAAAATGGTCAGATCTTTTTTTTTTTTTTCTCTTTTTTTTTTTTTTTCTCGTTTCACTTAAAAATGACTGGATGCTATTAAAACGTCAGGCCTGACTCTCCTGCCTCTCGCAGCTCCTTCATGCCATGGCTCTGCAGGAGCCTCTCCTGTCCAACCTCCTGGCGAGAGGGAGCACAGCCAGGCCCGGGACGGGTCACTAACAAATCCCTCTTTTTGCATATTTATGTAACACTTGCATATCTTTCACTGCGCTGCTTGGGCGCAAAAAGCTTCGGACCAACCTGTTCCTCTCCTACGCCAAGGGCGAGACTCTGGCTGGCGCCTGGAGTCGGCGGGCGGGCTGGAAGGGGGGGCCAGGCAGCCGTCCCGGTGCCCCCGGCACGTACCGGGGGTCCGGCCACGCTCACCGTCCCCGCGGGCAGCGCAGCCACATCTCCCTCCCCACCGAGGGCGAGAGCCGAGCTCTCCTTCCAGCCCTGCGCTCCCCGGCACCGGGAAGGGGGTCTGGCTGCGGTGCCCCTGGAGAGTCCTGCTTCTGCATGGCTCCTTCACACCTTCCCACGTGGGCTGTGGGCCCCCGAGGGCCACGCGCTGGCCCTGGGGCAGGTACCGGCTTTTAGCAGAGGGTCAGTGCAAGTTTCACTATGTCCTAGGGGATGTTTGGGATTAGATACAAGTGGTGCAACTCACCCTGCTGATATTTCAAAAGAAAACATCAGGTCCTACAGGATATCGGATTGTTAAACACACAGAGAGCATTTTAATAATTGGTTTCTCTAGACCATTATTTGTTTTAAATGGTTTTCACTCGGATTTTCCAATAATGCAAGTGTTCCCTGTTACCTTCAGACATAATATCCATCAGAGAAAGCTGTAGATGGGGAACAGCTGCCCTGAAGCAGTGAGCATTGTGTTTTTGAAAGCTTTATACCAACCCCAGCAATTTATTCCAGAGTTCAAATCTGGCTGCCTTGGCATCCTTTATGGAACTAACGCAAATCAGATGTTAATATTTCCAAAAGGAGCTCTAGCGTTCAAGGGGAATGGATGGATATTTGGTCACATTGGCTTCACTGGACAACATGAAAGGAGATCAATGTGTGATCATGATTTGCAATCCTTATTTTTGACTGATGTGGGCAATGTCTTTAGAGTTGTTTCAGAGAAGGACATTTTCACAAACCCACACTGGACCTCCCCCAGACTTTTAGAAACAAGTGGCTTGTTTCAGCCAAGTTCATGCCATGCAGAAGCTCTTTTGTTTGTGTTGACTGTAAAGACATTCCTTTAAACTTTCAGTAAGTTCTTTTGGAGCCCACCTCAGATGCTTTGATCATGTGTGTTAGCATGTCCTCCACTGCCTGGTAATACATGGACTTCTGGGGAAATGTGATTTTCTAGTCTGACAGTCTCCTGATTGCCCTGGGTTCTTCCAGTGATACCTTCCATAGAGTAAATGCAGTTCTGCCCTATCAGCTTAGGGGAGGTGGGTAAAGCAGCAGCTTCTAGATGGTTCTTCTCTGTTCTATAAACATGGTCCTTTTGCTTTAGATAGCCACTGTTTGTAACATTGTACTTGGGACTCACATTTCCGGGCGGACTTGAATCGTACATCAGCTGACCTTCGTCATCAGTGTCAGCGTCTATATATTTGTGTATACCAGCATCATGGAAGTTGAAAGCTATGGCTGCCTGTGACTCCGGTGACTTTGGGGGGGTTCTCGCACTCGCAGTTGTGTAGATTGAGGGTTCTGGGCTCATGAGAGATCTGTCAGAGAGTAAGGAAGTATCTGTGGCAGCAGCAGCTCCCCGGCTCTTGAGAGAGTCTGGATATATCCTCAGTACATTTGATGCTGGTACTAATGTGCTGGTGTCCTCTTCCATGAAGTTGACTTTCAGAGATCTTAGTTTTAAAGGGTTACTGGCCTTTATGGAGCTTTTGGGGCTTTCAATGAAAAAAGCAGAACGGTGGCTGCCTTCGGAGCTCGGGTTCATTTCCACATACTTGGCACCGCTCCCCTCTGGCCTGCTCTGCTCCTGGATGACGTTGATGCCGCCCTTGCAGGGCAGGGTGGTGAGCGGGCTGTGGGAGAACCGCCCGGAGTCAGGGAACTCTGCCGCACAGCTTATGAAGCTGTCGATGCTGGACATGCTCCTCATGTCAACGATCCCATCAGTGCGGGTTGTCAGCAGGGGCACCATAGGGCCGGGAAGGGTTTCCATTTCTAGCTCTTCCTTTTGCCTTCCAGGTTGACTCGACTCTTTAGTGTTAAGGTTTGGCTGGGACTGAGTCTTTGCCATTTTGTTGTACATGTCCTCAAGCTGTTGGACGTTCAAGTGCTGGGGACTTGAAGATGACCTGGCTTTTTCTGGGGATCCTGGTTCCTTAGTTTCAAAAGATTTACTAGAGCTAGTTTCAGAAAGGGTTCTCTTGGTCCATTTCCATTTGCTGGGAGATAAATGATTGTCCTGAACTTTATCCTTTTTGGTTATGCTTTCTCCATTCTTTTCAACCACAATGTCCATGAGTTCTATGCTGCGGGCAAAAGCATCCTTCATGTTCATGGAAACAATACTACCATTCCTTTTTGCTCTTTCAAGAGCTTCCCTGCGCTTAATGGCTTTCTCCTGCCTCTTCTGCTCTTTGTAAAACTCAGAGAAGTTATTGACAATAATTGGGATGGGAAGAGCAATCACCAGCACACCAGCAATGCAGCACAGTCCTCCTACTATTTTACCTAAAAGAGTTTTGGGGTAGATGTCTCCGTAGCCTACTGTTGTCATGGTGATTGTTGCCCACCAGAAGGAAGCTGGGATGCTCTTGAATTTTGTATCATCCTCATCCTTTTCTGCAAAAAACACTAAACTGGAAAAGATCATAATGCCCATGGCCAAAAACAAGATGAGTAATCCAAGCTCATTGTAACTTCTCCTGAGTGTAAACCCCAAGGACTGTAAACCCGTTGAGTGCCGGGCGAGCTTTAGAATCCGGAGTATCCTCATAATCCGAAATATTTGGACCACTCGTCGTACATTTTGGAACTGAAGTACACTTTTATTGGATTCAGTGAGGAAGATAGTGACATAGTAGGGTAAGATAGCCAGCAAATCTATAGCATTCAGGGGGCCTTTGAAAAACTTCCACTTCTTAGGCGAGGAGAGGAACCGCAGGAGGTATTCCATTGTAAACCATGCAATGCACACTGCTTCCACGTGGGCAAGCTGGGGGTTATCTGTGGTCTGCCCAAATTCATCCATGCCTTGTAGTTCAGGAAGTGTGTTAAGGGACAAGGCAATTGTAGATAGTACAATAAACATGATGGAAATGATTGCCAAAATCTGGAAAGGAAAGAGAAAACAGTGAGTTCATCTCAGAATATATTATGCTATCGCTGCCGTTAACACATGGCTGTATTTTCACTTACACACTGCAAGACTAATTTTTCTCAGTGCACAGAAGTCAGATAACCAATGCACCCTGAGCTGATTTTATTTTGGAAGCTGTTTTAGTTATGGCAGATGCATAAAGAAGATAAAACATCTACTTCAACTCCTGTGCCTTCATCTCCACGTAGTCAAGGAACACATACCCAGCCACCAGGAAGCCAGGAGGACGCCAGGAGGGCTGTGAAGCAGTTCACAGCAGGAGCTTTTGAGTAACTACTAATTAGGTGCCCAACAAAGCCCATCTGGACAACAGGCTCTGAAATTCAAGCAAGAAGGAATGCAACTGTGAATATACAATTCGATCAGAGTAGTGTCCTCCAGTTAATGCACAGTTACAGCTGTAATTTTGGGTGCTTATGGCTAATTACAGAGATGTGTGTACAATTCTACTACGTAAGTGTACAAATAATACACTCTTGTTTAATGACTCATCTCTAATTTGAAACTTGATGGTTGTGAAATACATGAAAACTTCACCAAGCTTTTCAAGCCATTTTGAGCTCTGAGCTATTCTGCAAGTGACCGACCGGGGGAAAGACCAAACATCCAAGCAAACCAAACTGGACACTGGGACAGCCAAAGTAGGACAGGTCCAGCCACTGGAGACCTCATCTGTTGTCAGAAAACAGCTGAAGAGTGCAATGAGATCCTATGCAATGCTCTGCAGTGAGCAGCCTCTGTAAATCCCACGTAAATCTGATCAGATCCTGGGCCACCGACTCTGAAGTGCTGCATTAGTGTGTTTGCAGCTTCCCGATGGCGTAGGCAGGCTGTCCTTCTGTACCTGTTTTATATAGACATTAATTCTATACTTTCCAGCTTTCCCTAATTACACCTCCTTTTAAAGCCTTTTTAGGGAGGTTTTAGAGCTGACAGACAATTCGGGGAGCGTTTTTTCTACCAGTGAATTCTTTTTCTAGTTTATTGATTGGGTAGGATAATATATAGTTTCTTAGGTAACTGCCAGAAAACAGCTGCAATTGCAAAACACACATACATGTGACCAACATTTTATGTCCTCACTTCAGTGTAAGCTGGTCCCTTATGAAGGCTTTTCTCCTTTTTTATAGAAAAGTAGCATGAAATCGATTGCAATATATATGCCTGATGACTAGATACACAACGTTAAGCAATGAATTACAAAACACATGACAAAAGTTCTGCATCGCAAATTGCAGATCTGACACACTCCTTCCTGTCCAATATAACACAGCCACAGTGACCTTTCTCAGCCAGCCTTAAAATACCAGAATATCCACAGTTACCACCTGGGGAACTGGAGAAAGAAATTCTTGATGGATTTCTCTTCAGCCAAGCCCAGCACAAACATCCTAAGAGTCAGGAAATATCAGACTTCTGGACATTTATCCCCAAACAGGCGGTTGCTGCAATGGGACAAGCCTGGTTCTCCTCCAAGGAGAAATATGCAGGTACAACATGGTTCAGAAACACTGTGGTCTTCTCTAGAAGACCTTTTCTCCATAGCTGAAAGGTAGAAATGGTCTACAAAGGTTGGAAGCTTCACTTGAATTAAGTTCATATAGCAAACTATGGTTTTAAGGGAAAAGCCCATATACCTTCAAAAAACCCAAATGTAAGGCAAGAGTTTCAATTTTTGAAAGCTTGATTTCAATGGGGGGTTTAAAAACCACTTGTTGTTAAGAAAATCCCTTCCAAATCAATGTTCTAAAACCATTTACCTTTTAACTCACTAAAATGCACTGTATAAGTGTGATTTGCACGTGACACTGCAGACTTAGGAATTTAATCTGGAGAATAAGATTTTACTAGAAACAAGAATTTACTCCATTAAATGCTCTGGTTTCCTTGTGTGAATTGGATTAACTAGAAGAAGTGCATAGTGTAAATAGCTTCCTATGCAATGCTCTAGTACCAGGAATTTTAGAATAGCCTCACTTGCAGTCCCTAAATTGGTGTTTCCAGGAAAAATGCTGAGAAGATTCCTTTTTCTTCTTAAACAGGCAAGAGAAGGTTTGCTGTTCGTTGTGCTGTGCACCTTCCCAGTGCTAGTGAACCTTCTGCCTCTCCTCACTACCTTCCTCTTCCACAAATTTGCTGCTGAAATACAAACAGCCCCACAAGAACTTGGGCAATGGGGTGTTTGCCTCACTGAGAGGCTTCTCAGGTCAATGAGCCGAAAAAGCTGTGGGGAGACTTGGGGGGTGCAAAAAAGTAGGAAGAACCATGGGATGAAGAGAAGTGGAGAGGGACACAGGGAAAAGTGCTTGAACTGGTGGCTTCAGACTCAAGAGAATAAAATGTAAGTCAAGTGTCTCATGGTGAAGTGTGGGGAAATTTAGATGTTAACCATTTCTGTGTGGTAGCTTGTTTCAAAAGACCATCTCCCATACACCCAAGGGAAGCAGGAGTCTGATTTGCTTTTCCAGAAGGCTCTTTTGGTGGTTTTGCTGTCATTTCTTTGTCTACAACCCACCATTTTGGAAGGTGTTTGGGATTTTTGCAATGGTAATTTCTTTTTTTTTTCCTTTGGCTTTATCTCTGCCCACACAGAAGGGCTTATTTGTAGGCTTAGATGTACCTGGGTTTTATCTCCTTCACTTTCAGTGTAAATATTAACACTCCATCTTTATTCAGTGAATGGCATCCAGAAGCAGTAATTGGTGTCAAACCTTCTGTTTCCTTTGATATACCTTCCTGCTTTGAAGATCAAGGCAATGCCAGATGAACATAAATAAATAAACTGGGAGATCTAAGGGTAATATTCAGTTTTGGTTTAGCAGATTTTGCCATGAAGCCAAGCAATAAAGAGAGAGGGACATTTATAATTTCTTCCACAAGTTGCAGCAAGGTGTCACCTGTGCTCCCAAGAGAGAGATTTCCCCCCTAATTGGTCTGCTGCAATCATACATCTTTGGGAATCTTGTCAGGCTAAGAAAAACTTCTAAATATGAGGTGACTGTCCTCAGGTACTGAAAGCACTTTTGAGTTGGGAAGTACAAAAACCTGTGAGATGAAGTATCTTCCATAAAGCACACCTTGTCCTGGTAGCATCCACCATCCACCAAAAGCCACCCAAGGAACAGCTGTGCACAGAAAACTGGATCCAGCTGCTGTCAGGCATTAGCACAGGGCTCTATCCCAAAGTATTTACAGTCTGGGATTTCAGATTATAGAAATCACCATCTGTCTCTCTAATAAGGTTTCCTATCTTGGCTGTACTGAGCCTCCAGCTTGGCAGCTCTTGTATTTTCCACTGTCAGTAATGAGAGACGGAAAGCTGAAGGGGGGACATTTCCACCACCAGGAGTGCCTCTGGAGATGCTCTGCAGGCAGGCTTTTCATTCCATTCCTGGCCTTTCCTCCTTCCTTTCCTCTTCCAGGTTTACTCCTCTTTAACAAGAACAGTCAATGGGACCAATTTGGACTTGACCAGAAATTATCCCTCCGCAGTGACTGACACTCCAGCTGCTGGAAAACTTTTTTCCAGTTGCTGGAAAAAAGCACCTGTGGTCCCTGCTCCAGAGCACTGACCCCAGACCTCACAGCTGCTGAAGTAGAAGCAAGAATGGGAGAGGGCCTCCTCCTGTGGCACTAGTTTTCATGATTCCTTAAAAAACATGCAACATGGTCTTGTGCTGGTGAGGACTTTTGGACTGGCAACCAAAGAGGTTGAACAGGCTCAACCACAGAGAGGTCCCTAGAGCTCAGGCTTGGACTGGCAGAAGGAACAGGGAAGGGAAAGTTCAGCATCAGAGGCCTGTTAGATTTTGTGAGTGCTGCTGAAATGTCCATATTCCTACTTATGGAGCAAGCTGTGCCCCTCCCAGGTCTGGCTGCTGGCTTATCTGGCATATGTTGGCTTGTTATGGGGACTGGGGAAGGCACTTCCACCACCACTGCAGGTGCAAACAGAGCTTCTGACTCAGATGCCCATGTTTGCATTAGATCTATAAAATGCATAACTGAAACACTGGAGAAGCTTGCACCCTGAAATTTAGAAGCACGGGGGTAAAATGGGAGCCACAGATGGCTAAAATGAGCACATGCTGGTGACACAGGCAGGTGCAGGAGTCCATGTACTTCTGGAGCCACATCCATGGCAGATGTTCTCCACTGTCCTCATATGGACTTCACAGGACCTAATGACAGGAGTCCTGACAGGCCAGGTCTTACTGGGAAGGTGTCCATGGAAGAGCAGTACAGACAATCCTTAAGCTGCTCATAAAGCTGACAGGGTTAAAGACTAGTTTTTCCCTGCACTACTTTCAGACCATTTCCACTAACAGATTGCATGAGAGCAGCTCTGTGGTTCCCTTCCTCTTTCCTTCTGTGTTTACTCTTACATTTCACCTGCAGCAACACACCATAAATTGTGAAAATCCCCACTAGGTACTTTTCTAGGTTACTTGCAGAAGTTGTTGGATGGGCTCCTAATGATGGCACTGGCTGGTAGTGCAAGTCTCAGTATGTATGGGCAGGATTCCAGAAAAAACTTCTCCTTCACTCAGGCACTTTGTGACTGTTTCACAAAGATTTTTGTGAGCTGAATGTCTGGATTGCTGCTATGGTTCCTTTGTGGAAGCTAAATAACCCAAGGACAGGCAGGGCAGGGTTTTAGATGAATTTAAAGCAGTTGCCTTGAAGTGATTAGCATGATTGTACATACATGCTGGTTATTACACATGCAAATGAGACAAGCAAGCTGATTATGGGAGCAAGTGTAGCCAGTCTGTGCAACTGCTGCTTCCTGAGGCAGGATGGATGTGCCATTTTTGCCAGCCGTTAATCCCCACCTCCCCCAAAATGCCCGAAAAAACTAGGCAGGCCACCTCTACCCAGCACCTTTCAGGACATATCTGACTGCCCTGGGCCTGATCCTGATTGCTGGGTCAGAATGGCCCCAGGGATTC